TCTTTCTTTCTTTCTTTCTTTCTTTCTTTCTTTCTTTCTTTCTTTCTTGTGGAAATAGGGATTGAACTCAGACCCTTGCTCTTGCCAAGGAATTGCTTATTCTACTGAGCCATCTCCCCGGCCCCTAATAGACAGATTTCTGATAGGAATAGTATTGCTTATTTGATCCCATGGTTGTCTACTAAGGGGAAGAGACAAAAGAAACCTATATTCAGGAACTTTTATATTTTTTACTTTCAGAAATTCTAGACTCTTACTTGCACAGGAAAAAGATTGCCTCTTAAACATTAGGATAAATTTAGCTTTGTTGAGCTCGAATTCTTCCTGGTGTGACTTTAATCAGCAGAAACGGCCACATAAGCTAAACAGGAATACAGGAAAATGCAGCCTTCTTAAATACAACTTATATTGTGCAATGGATTATGGCATTCAGACTTGTTTTATGAGGAGCCAACAAGACCCAAGCATGGTACAACCTGACTTTGAAACTGAGCATCATTCCACTAACACCAGTATGGCAGCTTCACAACAAGATAGTTTGGCAACATCTAAGATGATTTACTACAAAAGGTTGTGTACTTGCCATAAAAAATATGTGTTAACAAGGAGGATGCTCATAAATGAAATAGAAGAAAATTACTAGTGGATTGTCCATACCCACTGTATTCTTGGTACTCTTGCAGCCTGTGTAAAAACACTTGCTCAGATGGATTTTTGTAGCAATACTTTTGAAGATTAAAAAAGATGAATTTATATAACACAATAGAGGCATTTAAATTGTCATATACTTCTACTAACTCCATTATATTAATGTAACAACTCCACACAAAGTATGTAAACAATGTGTACTGCAACATGCACTAAGAGAAAAAAGGAAGGGGGTCAAGGGATGCGAAGAGACGAAAGGGAGGGGAGGGAAAGAGGATAAACAAAGGACTTAAGATATGTTATCTAAACGTGCCAACTCCTCACAAGGGCTGTAAACACTATGTACCATACACATGTACTTATTAAGAAACTAAACTAAAATACATTTTCCATAAAAGCAAAGTGAAGGATATAGTGGTATTTAGTAAATTCATTATAGTCTACAATCTCAATCTCTGCCTAATTCTACATTAATTTCTTCATCCACAAAAGAAATTCTGTACCCATAATTCAGCTGGTGTGCCAGTATTAAGGAGTGATACAGAAGTGAATTTCAAGAGATTGTAGAATATCTGTTGTTCCAACATGATCTCACACAAGTCTCAAAAGATCTTAATGTATGGCTTTGTCTTGGTTTGAAGTGCTTACACTCTTGCCAAAGCTGTTTGCCAGGCTATGTCAGTTGGGATGTGTTTATGATCACAACAGAAATAGTCTCACCTAATGCTGCCAGAATGTAGTAAACTATGGGACAGTGATGAAAAGAGTTCTGTTTCATGTCAAGGATAGTGTCTTTGAAGATGTAATACATTCCTCTGCAGACAGAAAAGCCAACAAAAACACGGGCAGAGTCTGTGGGTTTTTTATATGCGTTTTGTTAGAAAATAATAGGAAGATTGTTTGTGCAAATCTTCAGGAAGACGTAAAGGCAGGCATGCCCTGCCCACCAGCTGGAAGTATAAAAGGCCGTGCCTGGGAGCAGGCCTTCATTCACACTTAGCTATCTTGCCCTTCACAACATATCCAACTCCTTCTCAACTCCTGCCACTATGACTCGCTATTTCTGCTGTGGGAGCTACTTCCCAGGCTATCCCTGCTATGGAACCAACTTCCATGGGACCTATAGAGACACCCCCTTGAACTGCGTTGTACCCCTGGGCTCTCCCCTGAACTCCGGTTGTGGATGGAATGCCTATAGCTCCCGGAACTTCCGCTTAGACGGTTGCAATGGCTGTTGCTATGGCAACAGCTTTTACAGGCCATGGGGCTCTGGCTCTGGTTTTGGCTACAGCACCTACTGATGGACCAGTGACTGGCGACGATGGGACTCCCGATCACTTCTCTGCACAAGGAACAACACAAAGAGCAATAGCTGTCTTCCTTCCTCTAGATGTGCTTGAGAGCTGCTGACTGCTGCTTACTGAAGTCCTTCTCTTCCATGATAATGAACAAGCCACCCAGGACTCAAGTGTCAAGCTGATACTCACTTACAGCCTAAGAAAGCAAGACATTTTCCAGACATATTTAAACTTTGTGAAGCAGGTAGTTTGCTTCCCTGGGTTGCTCTGTTCATATATTATTAATTTCTACATCAACATCAATGTATTTCCGACTGGGTGTGGGTAGCAAGTGGCTTTACTTTTAGTCTCTTAATAAATCTATTTTATTAAGCATGCACATTTTTGTCTTGGCTCTTTACTTGACAGTGTTTTTATGCTCTTGAATTTATTAATCTTTTAAAACCTGTAATGGTTCTCTTCACCCAAATTTTATTTAGATTTTAGACTATATAACTAGGTTAGAATGATTCGTAGCCATTATTTCTTCCTATATTGAGATTTCAATTTTAAATATCCCTTTGATGTGTCTCAGATTTATTTCAAAATATTACAGTTATTTCTCTATGCTGACTATGAATAAGAATATTTGTTAGTTGTTAAATGCTAAGAAATACATTTCTTCTTTCACTAGTGACACAATTCCATTTTGATTTATTTTGCCTTCTTTCTGTTTGTAATCTCAGCTCTGGCCAGTGAACCCAAGAGATTCTTGGAAAAATTATAACTAAAGGAACTTAGGCATGAAACTACATCTTTAGGAATCTATAGGAATTTCTAAGATATGTTCAATAAAGGAAAGCCAACTCTAGCCAAGTATTTTCTCCCCTTTCAACAGATGACTTTTATTATCTGCACCTTCTTCACCTCTGATTATATATATAGCTAGTGATAAAAGATGAAGCACATACTCTGTGGAACGATAGTTGCTATCAAAAGCACTTGAAATGATTTGTGGTCTCTACTTAGAAAATGGTACTTGTCATGCTTACAGAGAAATCTCTCTTTATAGTAGCAAAATACTTTATAGGAGCAAAATGCTTTATATTTTGAATTAAAGCCCATTCATTCAGGTGTCAAGTATTTATTGCACTCTGCCCTGTAGGAAGGTGTTCAATTAATTGTTCATTGACTTGACTTGTTAAGTCTCTTCTTTATGGGTGTAAAATGAATGGTCATTGTAAATTTCTTTTATTAATGTACCAAAAATTATGGGGTTCTAGCCACTGCATTAAGGATTTTTAAAAAATGTATATTGTGCAGGGTCTCACTACACAGCTCAGACTCGTAGTGATCCTTCTGTTTTCAAGCCTCCCAGTGCTGGGATTACAGACGTGTGCCACCGGCCTGGACTTGGTCGCTAGATCAGCATGCCCAGGGATGTGCTGCTTGAGATTGAACTCCGGTCCCTACACTTACCTAAGCAGGCACTGAGTCTGCTGAACTATCTCGCCAGTGCTGAGATGTTTTAAATAGTGAAAACACCTCAACAGTTATGAGATGGCTCAAGAAACCAATCAGTATTAAGAAAACACTTACTCCTTCAGCAGATACCTACCACCAAGCACTGAAATGAGATCTGGAATTACAGAGATAAATAAAACATAGCTCTTGCTCTCAAAGGATAGATGCACTTTACTTAATGTTCAATGGGATTTAATATTCTCCTATTTTATAACCAAATGCTGGACTATAAGAGATCATACAAAGATATTTCTTACTTATTCCCTTTCCAGAAATCAAAGTGGGAGACAGCATGTAATCAGAGACACCACATACACACATGCACACACTACACACACACACACACACACACACACACACACAAGCACACACACACACAGTTTAGGCTTTCATTAGGGATTTGATTAAATAAATATGATCATGAGAGGAAGCAAGAGATATATCAAGACAGAAGATATGCCTGTTAAAAAAAAAGAAAACCAAAAGAATAAGGCTATCCGAAAATAGACAGGTACGGATGGATAATCACTGGCGCAGTGCACACCTTCCAGGGGAATAAAGTATTCAGTGGTCAGTTTGGGGTCTCTACCAACCTCGGGTGTCCAGATTCTGTCATTGTGGCTAACATCTGTTTTCTAAAGCCACAAGTGTCTTGTCTTTTTTTTTTTTAAATTTATTTATTTATTTATTTTTTTAACATTTTATTTTAGTGTGTGTGTGTGTGTGTGTGTGTGTGTGT